CCTCTTGTCTCGGACTGAAGTGGGCGCAGGGCTCGCCCGCGTGACGCCGTCCCCGCCCGGCGAGACTCGTCCCGTCGGGCCAGGCCCGGGCGCCGGGGCCCGGTGGGGCCCTCGAGCCCCGGAGCCCCCGGCCCACCCCGCGCTGTGCCCCTGGTCGGACGGGCCCTGGGTTTGCCATCTCTGGGTGCCCCCATCCGGCTCCGTGGAGCTCCTGTTAACTGCACTGCTCCTAGGGATCCTTCTTTTAATTATTCTTAATGTATATTGTAGAAAATCAACCTCATCTCTTTCTAATAAGAGCTGCAACAGTAGAATGTTAATACCTGAAACTTAATTGGTATCGAGCAGCTATGCTGAACAGTGTTAACACCCTTAGCCTGCATATTTTCAGGAATATGTGAAGCTAGGTCTGAGTAACTAGAATTTTTCTTTGTGTCAGTCAATGAAACATTATGTCCCCCATTTAGATTAGTTCTTTTGGAGAGTAAACACTTGGAGAGGAAAATGACATCGATTATCAAGTTGACTACGCTCTCGGGGGTGCAGGAGGAATCTGCCCTTTGCTATCTATTGCAAGTAGATGAGTTTCGTTTCCTTTTGGACTGTGGCTGGGATGAAAACTTTTCTATGGATATTATTGATTCTCTGAGGAAGTAAGTAGTTCAGTTCAGTTCATACACCTTTTTTTTAAAATAGGTCTTGGTCTTGAAAGTTTTCAAAATTCCATGCATTAGTATAATGTACGGTGTTGCTAAATGCAAAATTGTTCTCTTTTTTGTTTTGTTTTGTGTGTGTTTTACCTGAAGGGAATCACACGGCTGAAACATTTTCTGCAAAAGCTTGGGATTTTTTCTTGTCAGTCCAGTGAGTTGCGTCTCTTAACTGTAATTCTCAAACTGCTCCGTGTTTGTTTTGGCTTAGATGATTTGCTTGAATTTTTATTGTCATAAATGTGACAGTTTAGGGGAGACTGACCTTGGCTCTCAACTAATTTACAATAGTTAACTAAGTTTTAAATGGGAGAGGAAGCCTTTGTGTATGTAGGCTGAATACAAAGCAGTTCAACTCTTGGCTCTTGTTTCAAGTTGAACAGACTGTCAGGAAAACACATTCTGTCAGGACACCAGCCCTGCTAAGGGAAAAAAACCCTCCAAAATCTATCCAGACTTTAACACTGAACTTCTGCAGGTATACAGCAAGGAACTGTGCTAATTGCCAAATTAGGACTGAAACATGGAAATTTGGGAAAGAAACTTAGCTTTATGTGACTAGTTGTATAGCACTGACACACTTGCAGTGTTCCAAATCTTTCAAGTGAGGACTGTTAGGTACTAAGGATAATTTATAATTTTTTTCAAGTGTCTTAGAAGCGATTAGATAAAATTACCTTTTTTGTAACAGCCATCGAGAAGAATGTGCGTGCCCCACTTACTGTACAAGGGAACAAAAAGCTGCCAGTCCAACTTGTATTTTCATTTGTTACATGTGTTTTATGCCCTCAAGTTTTTCAATTATGATATGTAGAAAGGTTTTAGTCTAATTTTATGCAACACTTTCCCAGGAAAAAAAAAAATTTAAGAGTAATGAAATTCCCAAAACTGATGTGCTACTTTTCTTAAATGATATGGTTGATCTTTTCTGTATTTAAAGAAATATATTTTGATTTGATCTTAATCAGTTAAGAATTGTTGTGTCTTTGGTTCTGTTACTTGGCCACTTTCATCAGTTAAGAATTGTTGTGTCTTTGGTTCTGTTACTTGGCCACTTTCATCAGAAGAAAAGTTGTAGTCTGTTTTTGGGTTTATAAGCAATATATAGCACCTCTGTACCAATAATATTTTTGGTCCCTCAGTTAATTTGCTTTCTGGTCTCCACATATATACTATGGTCTTTTTCATCAGGAGTTTGATGTGAAACATAGGTCTTCTGATCTTTAAAGTTATGCTTTCTGAAATCACTCGTGTATTTAAGTACTTAAACATGAGGAAACACCTGTAAGTTTTAATTATGGTTTTTAAAACTGTCCCAAACCTTGAAGAGTTTAAATTTCATTGTTTGGCATTCAGACTGTGTATGTGTATGTATCTCAAAATAGCTCTAGCGGGAGATAACCATACAGAACTCCTTTCAATGGCTTTTGTTGGCCCTCTTCTTGTAGGCATGTACACCAGGTTGATGCTGTTCTTCTTTCCCACCCTGACCCTCTACATCTTGGTGCACTTCCATATGCAGTTGGAAAAATGGGATTGAATTGTGCCATTTATGCAACTATTCCTGTATATAAAATGGGACAGATGTTTATGTATGATCTCTACCAGGTATGTTTAAGTTGATACTTTCATACACAGCATCTTTGATGTGGTGCAGTGTTTGAATGCTCTGTACCTCTTTGTTTGTTTTAGTCCCGCCATAATACTGAAGATTTCACGCTCTTTACATTGGATGATGTAGATGCGGCCTTTGATAAGATACAACAGCTGAAGTTTTCTCAGATTGTGAACTTAAAAGGTAAAGTTGTCACCACAGCTTCACTGACTTAATTTTAGTGACAGGCAACAGAGTAATTATGAGTTAAGTTAACTTTTTTAAAGGGACTGAATTCTGAAATGCTGTGTGTTTTGTAGTGCTGAAGTCATTAGCCTCGTGTCAGTCTGTGTCAATTGCCTCAGCAGTTGTATCTAGAAATGGATAGAAATTTCAGGTAATGCAGAGGACGTCATGCCAGAGAATATTTAGATGTTTGTTTCTCTTTTGTGTTTTTATAACTTTTCTTGGAATTTACTAATGTCTATAAAAAGTATTTACTTCTAGTGGCGGATACCTCATAACTTTTCATAACAAGAAACACAAGGGAATGCTTTCTAGAGCAGATTGCAGAGACGAAGTTACAGCACGTGCGTGATTTACCGGGGAGGTCTTCAGTGCCTCAGGTCATCCTCAGTGTAGCGTGTTGCTGGGACCTGTGACAATCAGCAGCTTTCCACTTGTGTTGAATGTAAAGATCAGAACAAAATAAAAACTCCTTTTGAACAGAGACACGTACAAGCTGACCACCAGCAGTTTGTCTCTGAAGTGCAGTATTTTACAGGTTCATGAATAGTGCTGCCAAAATACTTGCCTTTCTATTTGAAAAATAGAAAGAGGCTGTTGTCCTTGAAAGACTGTTGGCCCCTTTTTGAGATAGTTGTAGCAAGGATATGTCTGCCCTGGCAATTTTTACATCTAAAGAGTAATTTTAGTGTTTAACTTTTTTAAAACAACCAACTGCTTTTATTTTAATGGAGGTGATTTGAAAACACTAAATGGAGGCATTTAAAAAGATAGTATATGTTTAATTATTAATTATTACTGTGCACTTCATGCAGCAGAGCCAATGAGTAATGGTTGTGGGTGGTCTCATTTTAATCTGACCAAGATACAGGCTGGTATCAATGACAGAATGCAACAGTGCATGTGAAAAGTGCATCAGGTGCTGAAAAATTTTGTCATCCTTGACTGCAGCACATGAACACCTTTTCTGCTATGGTTTGACTTGTGGGTTTGTCGTTCTAGAAAGCTTCCAGATAGTGTAATTTATATAAGTTTTCCTAAGTACCTCAAAAGTGAATTACTTAGTAAACGTTTAGTGTTGCCCCAGAGAGGATCCTGACTTTCATCGTTGTGCTTGCTTTCTTGTGATATGTTTTTATATAATTTACTGTTATTTATGTCTATAGTTACAGCAGCTCTGCAGTGCCTCTGAGTATCAGTGGGAGGTGGAGGGAAGAAGTGATCTTCGTTTTAATTTCTTTTTTATGGAGGAAATATCAAAGTGAATTGCAAAATATTTTGATGTTACTGGTTAGACAGGAAGGACACATTACTGCTTTTTCATACTTCATTTGATTATTTTCTCAGTAGTAATTTACGCATTCAGTTGTTTAATGTTACTATCTCTCGGTCAGAGCAATTTTAATATGTGGATTTTAATATGTGTAATCTACCTAAAATACTGAAAACCTTTGTAGGCAAAGGACATGGTTTGTCAATCACACCATTGCCAGCTGGTCACATGATAGGAGGCACGATTTGGAAGATTGTCAAGGATGGGGAGGAAGAAATTGTTTATGCCGTTGATTTCAACCACAAGAGGGAGATGTAAGTTCAATACAATAACGTATTGTCCTTAGCTGGGTTAGGTGTGTATCATTTAGTGGGTGATAAAGAGGTGTGGAAGCATTTCCAAAAGTGCATTTCCAGTTCTAATAAGACCACTAATTTCATTTGCATCTAGATTAATCAGTTTGAAGCAAGCATTAGCTCTGGGTTTCTTCATTCCATTCATTTTTATTTATTTGTAAATTTGAAGCAGGAAGCATTCAGCTGTTGATTAGTTTGGTTTCTGTACATGCAAATATCTGGAATCTAACTGTCTTGTTTTTTTTCTCATAAAATAGAAATGCAAAAAAAGTGATATTTTGCCTTTTCTTCCACAGCCATCTGAATGGATGTTCCTTGGAAATGTTGAGCAGGCCTTCATTACTTATTACAGATTCATTTAATGCGACTTATGTACAGCCCAGGAGGAAGCAAAGGGATGAACAGCTGCTGAGTATGTATTGTGTGGGCTTCAAAAATATCAGTAATGTGATTTATTAGCCACTATAAATTCTTTCTCGATGAGAAATTCATCAGCATTTAAACTTAAGAATCCTTATTAAAATGTAGCAAGTTTTGAATTACTCTTTTCTGATGATACTCATCCTGTGAGTTAAATGTTTTCCTAACAACAATGAACCATATTTGAAAACAGTGTATTTTACCCAGTATCCTTAAATCTCTTCAGGGATTTTTAAATTGCCTTCATCAGCACTTTCTTCTTTTAAACTCCATTTTCTGTTTCTTTTTAATGAAAAGAAAAGAAAGAAATAGCAAGGCAGAGAGATCTTCAGAGCTACTAAGAACACTCCAGCTCCCTTTAATTTTGGTGGAAATGTGGATTTTGATCTCTTTTAAAGTTTCGTTTGTTTCTGTGTTCAGTATACTTCTGAATATGATTGCTAGTGTAATATAACAAAAAAAATATAAAATCCAAGCCTCACCACAAACCTTCTAACTTTGGTTCAAAGTGTAAGTAGGTTTTTGTTTTGTTTTTAATTCTTCTTAGCTAATGTTTTGGAGACGTTACGAGGTGATGGAAATGTTTTAATAGCCGTGGATACAGCAGGCAGAGTTCTGGAACTTGCTCAGCTTCTTGATCAGATCTGGAGAACAAAAGATGCAGGATTAGGAGTCTACTCTCTTGCACTTTTGAATAATGTCAGCTACAATGTAGTGGAGTTCTCTAAATCACAGGTTTGTTTTGATTTTAAAATCCAATTATGAAGAGTAAAGGAACATTTATGGAAAAGCTTTTCTTTTTAATGGTAAAAAATGGCAAAATACTGGGTCCGTATTCTGTAGTGCATGGTTGTGTCCCAGCTCTTTTGATAAAGTAACACAGCATCCAGTTGTGACAGTGGCATGTTTGTTGATACTGATTTCTGTTTTTATGATAAGAGCTTTCGCATGGTTTATAGTCATTCAAAAAGGAAACTTAAAGTACTTGCTTCAGTGTTGGTTATGCTCAACATTATTTCTACACCTCCTGAGAAATACTGAAGTAATCATATTCCATCCTGTACTTCATATCAAGCTTGTACTGTTGAAGAACTTCTATTTGTGTAGATAACTTTCTTTAATACGTATTTTAGGTTGAATGGATGAGTGACAAGTTGATGAGGTGCTTTGAAGACAAGAGAAACAACCCTTTTCAGTTCCGCCATCTCTCCTTATGTCACAGTCTGTCTGATCTGGCTCGAGTGCCTAGTCCAAAAGTTGTTCTTGCCAGTCAGCCTGACTTGGAGTGTGGGTTTTCTAGAGATCTTTTCATTCAATGGTGCCAGGATTCCAAAAACTCCATAATTTTAACTTATCGCACTACACCTGGAACATTAGCGCGATTCCTGATTGATAATCCTGCTGAAAAAGTCATAGATATTGAGGTAAGAGTTTTCTCTATAGCTCCAGGTTTTTATTGTGTGCCATCTGGAGTTACGTGGGCAAAACTGAACATAGTTTCCTTTTTAATCTTCTGGAAATGCTTCTAGTGATGAAGAGAAACCTGAAATCAGTATGTTGCATGTTTATCAAATTGTGGATAAATTTACATAAAAATAGGTCTCCTACTGAGAACTACAAAATAATTCTTCATGGTGTGGCAAATTTAATAGAGTGGAGTATGATTTTCCTTTTAAATATTTATTTTTAAACAACTCTTTCCTTTGTGTTTCTATTATAATAGAAAAAATTCTGCTTGCAGTTGACGTACAGATTACCACATATGATGGGTTAGTCTTGCTAGAAAATTCTCCAGGTTTGGATGAGGGGAGCATCAAGTCAAATTAGTATAATATATCTCAATAGGATTAGAAAGATAAGCAAATGCTGGGAATTAGGAGATAATTAATTGCTATTCATGCTTTCAAATTGTTTTCAATAATCTGTACACCTGTGTCTACTTCTTTCTAGTGCACATTGTTAATTTATAAAAGCCCCCTGTTACTGCAGTGATAATTTCAGTACTGATGATGCAGCTTTATATTGGTTTTACATTGGACTGAAATAATTGAATTACAGTATTAGATTTTTACTAGAATTCAGTTTATTCAAAGTGAACTGTACTCAGAAAACAAGAAACGAAATCTGCCATAATTTTGCCAGCTAGTATGACTTTGGTAGGTGCTTCTGGTTTGATGTTAATAATAGAAAAACTGAAAAAACACTGCTCATCTGAGAGTATTTGCCTTCATTTGTTGGAGAGATATTTCCTCAACACATTTTCAGAAATTTTTGGAAAGCTTAATTGGTTTTAATATTTTTAAAAATGCTTTTGTATTAAGTAGACTGTACATATTGACACTATCATGATGCTGCCATGCCAAGGTACCACATTTTTGCCATAGTTTTGTCTTTTATGTGACATACAATTTATACTTACCTTTTGTACCTAAGGACAAATATTCTTGTCAGCAGCATAGAGGAGAAGTATTAAAGTTGTGTCAGCTACTCACAATGACGTGAATTTTAATTCTATCTGCAGTTGAGAAAACGTGTCAAGTTGGAAGGAAAAGAACTTGAAGAATACCTAGAAAAGGAGAAACTAAAGAAAGAGGCAGCTAAGAAATTAGAGCAGTCTAAAGAGTAAGTATGTTTGCTCATGATCAGAGTTGAGATTTCTATGTGATTATTCTGCTCCTTCAACACTTTTCAGGCCTAAATGAAAATTCAGTAGCCTTGTCTTGAGGGCGCTGAGGAGTCAGGAGTCAGGAATGGTTGTCTTTAATTTGTTGTTCCAATAGACCCAGTTTCATCTGCCATTTGACTTTCTTAGATACATAAACTGTCCTTGGCCTTTGTTCCAATAGACCCAGTTTCATCTGCCATTTGACTTTCTTAGATACATAAACTGTCCTTGGCCTTGGTTAGTGTTATGTCAACTGTCATTTTCTAGTCAGTGTGTTTATATAATATGAAACCTGAAATAAAAGAAGAAGTGCTAGTTTTTTTTGGAATGTCATTTCAGGGCAGATATTGATTCCAGTGATGAGAGTGATGCTGAGGAGGATATTGATCAGCCAACTTTACATAAGACCAAACATGATTTGATGATGAAAGGTGAAGGTAGCCGGAAAGGAAGCTTCTTCAAACAGGCAAAAAAATCGTATCCAATGTTTCCAGCTCCTGAAGAAAGAATTAAATGGGATGAATATGGTGAAATTATCAAGTATGTGGTGGTAATGTATACTAACATAGTAGCTATGAAATAATCAAAAACTAGAAGGAATTAAATTCACCATTTTGTTTCTTTCGCAGCATTGCTATATGCTCTTCCAGCTGCTAAGTCTTTCAGAAAGCTTCTGATAAAGATTGAAGCTGCACAGTGCTGATCCTTGACCTGTGTTCACACCTCTTAGGATGTATTTTCACTCCTGGCTTTTTTTTTTAATTAATTTGAGATAGAAGATTTTAAATTCTTCTAACCTGACTTTTTTCTGTGTTAAATTTCACTTAATGTTAAATCTGTGAGGTGAGAAAACACTGATCATCCTAACAAAATCTAGTGATATTTGTCAGCTTTGCATAAGGAATACTTGCTAGAAGTCCTCAATATGCTAGTATTTCGTAGCAAAGTTCTTTTTTAAGATAGGAGGGCTATATTTTCCAAATCATCTCTGTTCAAGTATGGAAATACTTGGCAGGTGTAGCAAAATTGCTGGCAATAACAGTTAAAAAAAAATTTTAGTAGTAATAATCAGCACTGTTTGTTTTTATATTGTGTAGTGCTTTGAATTTACTCTAAAAGCAAAATGCCTTCCATTCTTTAGACCTGAGGATTTTCTAGTTCCAGAACTTCAAGCAACAGAAGAAGAAAAAAGCAAATTGGAGTCTGGTTTGACAAATGGAGAGGAACCTATGGACCAGGATTTATCAGATGTTCCTACCAAGTGTATTTCTGCAACAGAATCCATGGAAATTAAGTGAGTGACTTTGTTCTTCTCAGTTCTGCTAGAACAGTGGCATGGGTACAGTGCAAATTAGGTAAAAGGCTGGCTTGGATTTAAGAAAGTGGGAAAGGACTTGATTTTTGTTTCTTTTTTCCCCCAAGCTAATTTGTATTTTACTAGTTTTTCTGGGAGCACAGAACAGTCTTATGTTTGCCCATTCTTAAGAGATTTGGTTTGTTTCCTGTCTTATGGAGACAACTGGAAGAGATAGATGAAAATATACAATGTTAGCTTAGATACTTAAATATGTTTTGTTAAAAGGATAACATATTCAAATATGTTTATTTCATGGATAAGTTATTTTTTTTTATAATTTTGTAAGTGAATTTTGTGAATGTATAGTGTTAAATACACACACACTTATATTTGACAACTGTGTTTTACAGATCCATAATATACCTTGTGCTGACAGCTTCTGTTGATGTACAATAATAAAAAATATCTTAATGAAGTATTTTGGAGCACTCAAAGGTTTAATCTTTTAAATTAAAACATATTATTCTTGGGTTTTTAATTCAAATTAGAGCCAGAGTTACATACATTGACTATGAAGGACGTTCAGATGGGGACTCAATTAAAAAAATTATTAACCAAATGAAACCAAGACAACTGGTCATTGTCCATGGACCACCTGAGGCCAGTCAGGACCTTGCAGAATGTTGCAGAGCTTTTGGTGGAAAAGATATTAAAGTTTACATGCCCAAACTTCATGAAACTGTAGATGCTACAAGTGAAACTCACATTTACCAGGTAAGATACTGGAATTTTTTAGTTGTGTAACTACTGTGGACTGTAATCGAGCTGTATGAGCAGAATGTAATCTGCTCTCTTTTCTTCGGGCGAGGAGAGGTGATACTACCTGTGAGTACAATTAGTTTTGTGTCATCAAGGCTTTAGTAGTGTTTTTCTGTCTTCTAGATAAGTATTCTCCAGAGGCTTATTATTCATAAGTGTTTGTAAGCTTGAATATGAGACCAGTGTGTTTTTACCTGAAGTGCGAAAGGCAGCATTCATGTCCACGGGGCCATTGGTTTGCTTTACTGAAGTGTTTACAAATTTATAATGCCTATACTTAGAATACCATTGTATACTGGCTGCAATTCAGGGTTCTCTTTGGAATCTCAAAGAGCCTTAAAGAGCTAGAATAAAAAAAATGTTTCATACTTAAATAGTACCTAAGAGTGAACATATAAAATTAGGAACAAGTTAATGATAAAAACAAATAATATACCCATACCCTGCAAAAACTTAATGTGATGATTCTTGGAAAGTAAGGTTATGATAATGTGCTGGTGTGTGTCCGTGAAAATTAAATGCAATATATTAAGTCTAAATGAGAAAGCTGGAATAGCTTGTGTGAATAATATGAAAACTGTATATGGTCCCAATTAAATTTTTGAAGTTGTTTAGAGGGAAGGCTCTCACAAACACTTCTTGCAGTAGTCCTTTATTCCTTTGTTCTTTTAAAGTTAATACAAAAACATTGATAGAATTGTTGAAAGATACTTCTGTCTCTTTCCAAAGAAAAACCTGTTACTCTCTAGAAAGTAGAAAATTCCAGTTATTAAAAAGTCATCTGGTTATGATTTTAGAACAGCATGTTTTCTGCATGTAGTTTGTTGGTTGTTGGGAGGTTTTTTGTTGTTTTTTAAGCTAGTGTGTAAGAAATGGCCCAGGAGAAGTGCAGTGATGATGTGAGTGCAGTGTCAGTGTCACAGTGTCATTTGAATGGGCTGTGCTGCACATGGGTGGATAGCTGGTGGTTGTATCTCACACATGGTTGCAGAATTGATTGCACTATGGGAATCGTGGACCTTCTAAAGTGGATAACAATCTCTAAGAGTGGAGCTTTTTTAAAAGGATTAAAGTTCGACAGTCCACCAGAGAAATCAGGGTAAGGGCACTTAAAAGTCTCAAATTTACAATGTCCTTTCTTACAAAAAAATAGTAATTATAATTTTTTTGGAGGGTTGAAATTTACTATTCATCAGTAACCTAAATGTATCTATAGAAACTTCTTCTGAATTTGCTAAGACCAGCTGAGGAACAACTCGGCTGCAAAAAAAATTTCTGTTTTTTCAAAGGAAATGATTACTCTTGCTGTAAATTTAAGTCAGGTTTACAATTCTATATATTCTTTTTTTATTTTAGCCAAGATGAGAAAGGTGTTTATCTCAGCTGCTTTTTAAATTCTGATACGAGTGTTACGCATATTAAATTTTAAATTAACTTGACTTGGTGATACCAGTTCCATCCTTTCTCTCCACATGTGTGCATGAATCAAAACCTTTGGAAAGATGGTGAAGAGAAACTTGCTGATCTTTAAACCTTGAAGTAAGACCTCTGTATTTTCCATGAAACTAATAGTACTTTTATTTTTGTGCAACCCAGGTCCGATTGAAAGATTCTCTTGTCAGCTCTCTTCAGTTCTGTAAAGCCAAGGATGCTGAGTTGGCTTGGATAGATGGTGTTCTGGACATGAGGGTTTCAAAAGTGGATACTGGAGTTATTTTGGAAGAGGGAGAGTTGAGGGAAGATGAAGACTTAGAGATGCAAGTGGATGTGCCTTCTTCAGACTCGAGTGTGATTGCACAACAGAAGGCCATGAAAAGCCTCTTTGGTGATGATGACAAGGAGATGTGTGAGGAGAGTGAGATCATTCCTACTTTGGAACCTCTGCCACCTCATGAGGTACAGAAATTATGCTGGTCTGGATTTCTTTTATGAAGACCTCTGTACTCATTTGTCTTTTTCTAGTGCTTAGACGTTGATCCTGTGGTCTTACTCAAATGAAAGCCTGAAACTGGGTTTTCATGTTTGGGTTTCTCTTTGTTAAACCTGGTGCTGTTTTTTGTTCAGCTTTTATGCTTTTCAGTGAGGATGAACTTTTGAACTTAAAAGTACCTAGCACACAGTACCATATATTTATGAAAATAAAATTTTAATTAGTCTGTGTCATATCTGTAATTACACTTGCAGATAGAGAAATCAGTTGGTGTTAGTCACTTCTGGATTTTATTATGTTTTATTGATGCTATGGAAAATACTTCAGATACTTGAGAAACAGATCTTTGACATTCATGCATCTGCTTCTATAGTAGATTAGATTTGAGAGTTCATGAAATTTAGCTTCTCTATAAATTTACCGTAATTCTTAAAATACTTAGCATTTTAGAAGATAATATTTTATCCTTCTGTTGAATGATTCCAGTACCTTTTAATCCTAGAGTTGCTTTTTAAGATTCTGTTTCACAGTCCTAAATGCAGTCTGTTCTGGGAGCTAGAGAACTGTGGAGACAGCTCTAAAGTTTGTTTAGATTCCTGACAACCATCATAGCACACTGTACTGATCAGCAGTAATCTCAGTCTCTGGCATAGCATGGCTCGGAAGAAGGATCTTCATTGTAGCTTTCTATTTGTCTTCAATATGTGAGCAAAGAAAAACCTTTTGCTTTTTGTGATGGCTAACTTCTAAGGCTTTTCTGTCCTGAAGATGTATTGCTGCAGGTGAACAGAAATAGATCCAATTTAGAGTCTATAGTCTTGTCTGCACTGCCTACACAGTAATGAGATCTTTGGAAAAATGGAAGGTGTAAAATACAAGTAGTAAAATTGTGTGTGTTGTTTTGAAGGTTCTTGGACATCAGTCTGTGTTTATGAATGAGCCAAGACTGTCTGACTTCAAGCAGGTTCTCTTGCGGGAAGGTATACAAGCTGAATTTGTTGGAGGAGTGCTTGTGTGCAACAACTTGGTGGCTGTCCGCAGGGTAGGTGTTCTGTAGTTTAATCTCTTTGGCAAATAATATTATAAAATAATACATATTATTTTGGTAATAATTAAAATATTATTTTAGTAACAAAAGAAGCTTCTCATTAGTGTAAAGATAATAAATCGAAACATGTCTTTTGTTTCAGACTGAAACAGGACGTATTGGATTGGAAGGCTGCCTCTGCCAGGACTTCTATAGGATAAGAGACCTTTTATATGAGCAATATGCTATTGTCTAAGAAAAGTGCTGCAAAGGTGTTTTCACTTGAACTTTTACAGACAATGGAGGTTTCTCCCCGTTCTCACTTTTTGTAGTTTTCTAATTTATACAGGGAAACCTAATTCATAAGGAACAGTTAGCTGCCATGAACATGTAAATAACTGTTGTTCTGTTCTTCTATTCTTCAACCAGTCTGCTGGTACATTCCATGTAGTTGACTCTTAAACTGTTACAACTTGGCATCTTCCACATAACACATTATAAATGAGTTTATGACTATGAATGCCTCTCAGGAAAGGTTCAGTTTGTCAGGGTATGTTTTTTTTCCACAGATTTCCTGTCAAAGACCATGAAACATGTAAAAGTCATTGTTTCGTTCTAAAATAAGATTGGAAAAAGAACTTTGGTTTCTTTGGTTTTGTTTGGTTTTGTTTCTGTGTGGTTGGTTTTGGTTTTGGTTGCTTGGTGTTTTTTTTAGTAATTTTGATTTGGGGAACAGTCTCAAATATTTTCCTCTTTTGTTTTTAAATTGAGGTTAGTTGAAGTACATTATTAACAGCCCACTTAAAGCTTAACTGCCTGAAACTGGGGAAACCCAGTGTTAATCTGGCTGCATCTTAACGCTGTATCTGTTCCATCTTACTGATTTGTTCTGAAAGAGCATTTCATATTCTCATCTTCAGGATAAAAAATTACTTGGGCAATTACTCTGAGAAGATTGGATGATATTTTCGGGTAGTTTAAAATGCAGTAATTATGCTTCAGAGTAACTTCTGTACAAACTTACAGAATTCATAACTCTTAGCTCTTGCAAAATGATGCCAATTGTAAAACCTTTTCTGGGTTCTGATTTCAATACTTTTCAAAGTCTAAAGCCTTTATCCATGCACTGCTGTTTGTTCAGAGTGCCATGAGCCATGTTCAGGAAGAACTTTTCTCTTGAAATCTGAGTTCATGTGATGTATTCAATGATTTTGTGCCATGTTCTGTTCTAGCTGACAGTGAGACTTATTGTAGCTGCTGATGCTAGGAATTTACCTTACTTTTTAGGTAAGGATAACACTGTTCTGAGTTCATTAATTTCTCAGAAATTAACTTATGAAAAGAAATGGCCTCTTGAGTTTATTTAATCCTTTTCTCTCCTGTCCACATGTGAAACACCAGCTTTGGCAGTGGAGGGTTGTTCGCTTTTTACATAAAACAGCAATGTAATATATGCTCTTTGTGTGTATGCTTAAATAAAACCTTTTGAAAAAGTTGCAAAAAATAGCCCTGTGAGCTATCAATGGAAAGATTATTCACTTTGCAGTTCATTCTCAACAAAAATTTTCTATCTGATCTACAGATTATTTTGTTTAAATAAGTAGCTTAACTGTGAAGATTGTATTAAACATTTGATAGAATTATGTACTAGAAATGTAAAAAACTTGAAAATACAATACTGAGTGAGAATGTATTTTCTTAAACAAAATCTAGAGATAACTAGATAGCTCAGTGCTGTGGATTTTTTTCTTAACAGTCTAGAAAAATGTGTATTTCCCTTATATTGACCACCAGAACTTCATATAAATGCTCTGGTTTTGTAGCAATGCTATGTAAATCCATATGATGCTGAATACTTGTTGCTGAATACTATTGTATTACTACTGTTGCTGATACTAGTGAACTTTTATAAAGTGAGTTACTTTGTACATAATCATATTAGCCTTAGGACTTTTACCTCCAGGGCTTAGGATAGCAAGGGATCACATATGCCTGCATGGAATATACTAATAAAGAAAAAGGGACCTTAGGAAGTCAAAATAGTGCCATTTTTTAAAAAAAGGATAAAGACAACAGAGTGTGATGATCATAAACCTTTCTATCAGTTTTGTTTTTCTAACCTACTCATACAAATTCAGCTAAGATTACAAAATGTTAGTGTTATCAGTCACTAAATTCTAGTGTTTGCTGACAGATAATCCCAAATTTGTGTCATCACTGAGGAAAATGCCGAAGTATTAGCAAAACAGCTGACTTCGTATTTTAGTCTGTTCAGCATGAGTGTGGCTGAAGTGTGAAATCAGACCTAGAAAGCTGACATGCAAGGTGAAAGTTGTCAGCTAGGATTGGAGTTCTGGACTTCTGTAGAAAATGTATCTGAGACTGCACTGGTGCTGTGGGGCAGATGTGGTCCTCATCCAGGGATTCAGTGTTTGTAAAGCAGTGTGTGCCTCAAGCCATTGCCCATTAATTTTGCCTATTCTGCTGTCAGTTCCCTGATACGTTCTTAACTATTATTTTGTTCAGAGAGTAATTGAATTTCTCTGTATAATTTTCAGAGTTACTAGTCTGGTTCTTGTTTTTATCTGAGTTAAAAGATTAATTTCCCCTTACCTTCACAAAATGTCAGTACTGTCATGATCTGTAAGTTGTATTTTCAGGCTTCTATATTTTCTTCATAAGCAGTGAAACTGTGACACAAGAGTACCACTTCTTATTCTGTGCTCTGTTGCTCTTGAGGGTAAGAGCATTAACTTCAAATCTAGGTTTGGTGTTCACCAGTTAGAAATATTTCCTTCCAGGGCTTCTGGATAGTTCCAGTTCCTCAGATACGAAGAGCCAAGGGTATGTGGAGACACAGGAAAGGTGGAAACTTGCCTTCTTCCATCCCCCAAGTCTGTAGTACTTGTGGGAATTTCCTAGCTTTTGTAGTCTCTTCCTGTACCTCTGTAGTAGAATGTGAACACGTGTTTTAAAATATTAAGGGAATGAAGAAGCAGAACTCTAATGATAAAAAAATAATTCTAACAATTATTATTCTGTTCCTATTACCAAAACACGGCTTTGCCCTGAGTTAAATAACACTGTTTGTGACAGTTTCGTTTTTAATCATTTTACTTTGGCAATATGGGCTGGAGGTGAAGCTGAAAATCTCCTCCATCCTTTAACAATATTTAGATTTAACCAGATCCACTTCTCAAAATACACTGTTAATGGAAATGCCCAGCATTCTGTCAGAGTAACAGTCTTGTGGGAGCATTTGAGATCTAATTGCTGCTATAACTTGCTTGGAAATATAGGGATTGCCCCATATTTCTACTAGCTTTTATTTGGAGTCAAATGCTATTCATTAGGAATTACCAAGCAGAGACATGCTCCCTCCCCACCGTCCCATCTAAATAATTGTTATAGATGGTTGTACCCTAAAACACTTGTTTTGTACAGAATCAAGATTTCTTTGATAAGGCATGACATATGTTAATACTTCAGGTAGGAAAGGGGAGTGTATTGCCTGGGAACAACAACAACTTAAACTTGGTTCTGGCCAGGATAGGGTTGATTTTTGCAGCAGCCAGGAGGAGCATGGCCAGGACCCAGGGGTTATTCCATGCCACCTCAGGTCATTTTCCAAGAATGGGGAAGGGGTCCCTTCCTGGCTGTGGTTGGGTATTGTTGGGCTCTCTTTGGTGCAGGGCTGAGCATTCACTTGGGAATCACTCACTTCCCTTGTACATTTTCATTATTAATGTTGTTGCTGTTACTGTTCATTTTCTTATTTCATTGCTATTTCTGGTAAATTTTTCTTATCTCAACCCATGATCTTCACTTTTTGTGACTCTCAATTCTCCAATTCTCTTCAGCCCCAAGAGGGGAGGGAGAGAGGAAGGGAGGAGTGAACAAGTGGCACATGCTTTGGAGTGTTTTGGTCAGAACACTAAGCAGGAGAATACCATTCCTAAACCATGAAAACTACTAAAATTTTTTTGAGAATGTATCAAAAGTAGTCTTACTGTAAGGATCTGCATGTTGCATGATATTCTGTTTCATGGCTTTTAGAGATGTTTTCATAGTTTTGAAAAGGAAGTGCTAGGGAAAATGATCTCACAGTCAAATCTGATAAAGAAATGTATCTAGTAAACAGAATTGTAGTTCTTGGTCTGAAAACTGTATAAGTAGCCAGTTGTAGTTCAAAATGGGATAATGAAACCAGATCAAAAGAATCTGTAAAATTACCTGTTGACATTTATTTTTAAAAATAATTTAAACAGTATTAAGTCTTACCTTCTCTTGAGACTGTTTTTGATTGGGTAAGATATAATACAAAGATCAAAATTCCATAGAATCATAGAATGGTTTAGAAGGGGCCTTAAAGATCACCTGGTTCAGTGCTCTGCCATGGGCAGGGACACCTTTCACTAGACCACGTTGCTCAAAGCCTCATCCAACCTGGCCTTAAGCATTTCCAGACATGAGCCATCCACAACTTCTCTGGGCAACCTGTATGTCACCCCCACTCACAGTGAAGAATTTCTTCCTAGTACCTAACCTAAACCTATTCTCTTTCAGTTAAAGCCATTTCCTCTTGTCCTATCACTACATACCTTTGTAAAAAGTCTCTCTCCAGCTCCCCTGTAGGACCCCTTTAACTACTGGAAGGTGCTCTAAGGTTTCTGTAGAGCTTTCTCTTTCCCCCAGCTCTCTCAGCCTGCTGTCATGGGAGAGGTGCTCCAGCCTCCGATCATCTTTGTGGCCTCTGAAGTTGCTCCAACTGGTCCATGTTCTTCCTGTGCTGAGGACCTCAGAGCTGGATCCAGTGTTTCAGGTGGGGTCTCACCAGAGTGGAGTAGAGGGCAGATCCCCTCCCTCACTCTGCTGCCCACACTGCTTTGTATGCAGTCCAGGATACAGTTGGCTCTCTGGGCTGCCAAGTGCACATTGCCAGATCATGTTCATCCTGTAGCACCAGCATTTATTTTGGGAGTCTTGTTGGGTCTTGTAACTCTTGGTTAGCCAGAGTTGAAGTGAGCAGTAATCATCTCTTTAAGAGCACTTTTTTTATTTCCAGTGAAGTTGAAATCTTCCATTATAACACCACAAGCTTTTGTAGAAACTCATTTCCTTGAAGGGCACTGGAAGGGCAAATATTTCACTGAATGGTTTAGATGATCTAAAATGGTATGATAAGCAGCATATGTTGTGAGCTGTTAATTACATCACTCTGCTTGACCAGTATTAACCAAGGGATGAAAGAGCTTGTTGTTACAGATCAACTACACTAATTACATTTATAAAATTCTTAGTTCTGTATTGTGAAGGGTGTCTTAGTGTTTTCTGGCAGAGGAACTCTTGAGGAGTGGTTGCAGTGGTTCAGTGGTAAGTAAAGTGATCCTTCCTTTCAGCTCTAACACTTCCTCATGTTGGTAGAAGATGAATGTAGTTATGAGTATTTGGGAGAACAAGATTGTTTGCTACAGTGAACTTCAAGTTTTACTGTCTTTGATAGGTTAAGTATTACCACTGTGATAAGAAGTTAAAAAAAAAAAATAAATAAAAAACCACAAAAAACAACAAAAAACACACTCCAGCATTCTTTAGTAGAACTTCCAGTGAGCCCTGTAACTGTTCTTCTGGAAGAGAAGG